AGTGCTGCTTCAGAATACGCTGGATTATGACGTATAGTGGGTACTTTGCGAACGCACTTGAGCCCTAGGAGAGTTTACAATGGCCAATGTTACGTGCACAGAGTCATAAACGCTCGTTGCTTCACGTACGGCATGGCTGAGGTGTTAACCGAGAACCGAAACGTGACAAGCGAACCAGAAGGCCACGAGAACAGGGTCCGATAACATTTATTGCGCTCCACTCTTGGAGATGATCAAACTTCGGCGTCCTTCGAGAAGTTAGCGTTAGAATAAGACTTCCATTCGCCTAGCGAAGGGAGGTGGGCAGCGGCAAGATTTCTTTACTGGGGGGGGGGGGGGGGGGGGGGGTAGGGGGCATCCACGACAAGTGAGTTCACTCAGCAAAAAACAGGGAGGTTAAGAACATACACATGCGTTGTGCTTTGACTATGCTTGCTCTTGGGGGGGGGGGGGCATGCAGAAAGTTTGGAGAGAGAGGGACTCCACCCCCCCCCCCCCCTGAAAAATTTCTGAGCTATACTGACCGAACTCGTCCATCTGTAGGAGCGTGTCCCAAGAAAAGATTTTTTTCGATAGGCAATGGTATTTTGTCCCGGTGTCATACGGCCACTTTTGATCACGATCGGGCCTGATCCCGATCGAATTTCATGGTCGTGATTGGCTCCTTTACGCAAGCTGCAAAAGGGAGCCAAAAGCTGTTGAGGAATTCGATTTCAATTAAGCTCGTTCGCAATCAGCAGTGCATCGTGTGACACTGGTACACAAGTACAAGCGTCGGTTGAACACGCTCGTATGCATAAGCTTCATGCTCATACTGGTATACGTACTGCGTGATTGAGCCGCTTTTTTTCCGACTCGGGACGGCTCCTGCGTTCATGATGATGATACTCCTTGGATGTTGCTACCCACTAAGGGGGATCGGCCAAGAGTCTAACTGATATACATACTAGACTTATTATTATATATTTTTAAGTGCTAATATATGTTACAGATGCAATTTTAATCAAGCGTTGCGGGTGTAATGATGATCCTGATGACGACGACGATGATGATTTATTCTTTCTTATGTCGCTGACCCACAAAGGGAGAGGGGCCATGAACCTGGCGGCAGGATCCTTGATTGAATCACCTATGGAGCTAAAAACAACACTCTATAATTTTACGTTAAAGAAAACACAGCTAATAAATTAAAAATTCGTTGAACAAACAGTAAGACTACCAGAGGGGATGTTTAACGGAGATGAGGAGTTGTAATTAGTAATGCTAATAAGCAAATGTACACTAGCACGCTAATCTTTCTGTTTCTTGTATGAAATCAATCACCGTGCACAGAGTAGGCATCCCTGCGGCTATAACATAACGTGTAGTGTCGTCAAGTGACGATAAAATTAGCGCGACATTGATTTGTAATCAGCCCACGATTAGCACAGCGTCATCGCTATCGTCGCCAATCTCGAGCGCAGGTAGCGCGCGTGCATCCGCGAGAACCCGCCGGCCACCTTTTGCAAGTTCTCATCAGTTCGTTCGAACGAACCCCGCGAAATGGCTGGTAAGCGTGCAAGGCTTTGTAATCATACCCTAATAGAAAGGTCACAGTGGTTTCATTGCGTTCTCGTTGAGTATATTGTTCCAGTGGGTAGGGCTTTCGCTAATCAAATAGGTGCAGTTTGAATAACGCTTGTATATAGTCTGGGAGATCAGTCGGCCATTGCAGTCGATGTTTTTTAAAGAAGATTGTCTTTCTTTAGGACCTTCGACGCAAACATTTTGGTGTGTCTGGCTGTCTGTATGTCCGTACATTTGTCTGTTTGTCTACCTTTATGGTGCATTCAGACGACGGACCAAATACGGATGTGGCGGGACAGACGGCGCGTCACGTGACCTCACATCAGCGATTCCCCTCGTCCGCGACTCGTCCGCGCGGCTCGCGGACGGATGAACCCAACCTGTTTCTCACATCGGGATTCTGGCGGGGGAGAGCCGGTACTTCAGCGGAATAGCTCGGGGTTGGTGGCAACCAGTACACTTTTCGTCTGCTCGCGGACAGCTGCATGACTGGTCGGCATCATCTACGTTTGACCATGGTTTACTTAGTTTCTGGGGTCTTTGTTCTCAGGTGATTAAATACGCAGAAATCACTTTTGGTGGTTCGGGAAATGTCGCCGCCGTCGTTTGACACGCGAGATTCTTAGCCGTCATGATGGTGAAATATTCTAACTTCTGCAACCGGCGACGTGCCGCTTCTAAAAAAAAGGATGGGAGACGCGTTCAGAAGTTCTGCAAGTGGGGAACAATGCAGTTGAAAGAACATTCTGCCAGCAACTCCCTTTTCTCCTGAAAGAATAACACTCCTTGTTCATTTGTCACAACGCGACAGACATCGTAGTCAAGCGTCGCTTCTTGCGGGCATCCATGTTGAATACTTTCAAACCGGTCTGCTTTCAGCGCGCGCAGGTGAGCGCCGAACCTGCTGTCGAGGGTAATCCGGCTGTTTTCTCCTAGGACACCGTCCGTCGTGTGGATGCGCCTGCAGGCGAATCATCCGCGGATTACCCATCCGCGTCCACGAGAAATTCGGATTCGGTCCGTCGTCTGAATGCACCATTAACGGCATCGGCTACTTGAAACGGCCGACCCCATCCGCAGCACTCACCTATGTTGCTCAAGGTTGAGCGTTCATGCTTGTGCAATTGTCAATTAAAAAGCAGTTATTGCGCATGTCTGGGGCACCATGACAACATGTAATCTGCATGTGCTTCTCTTACTAGAAAAGGCATGCATAAGTAATTTTAAGGACCGTAGCGCCTATCACGCTGCGCTGACCATGCAACGCTTGCACGGAAAGGCGAGTGTTTCCAACGCTTTGCTAAAACGAAACGGTGGTGGCACCTACGCATCGCTTTGCGTTCTACGCCTTATCACCTTTGAGATGGGCGCGCACACCCGTCTCAGAGCCACGCGTTTTGTTTTCTAAGACATCTGCCAGATGGCGCTTATGGCTCACGTGTGACGTGACTTGATGCGCTCGTTCGCCTCTGCTGCACGCTCGAGGCACTCTAACGCAGCGCCTCCGAAATACCATTAACCGATTTTCTTGCGCAGAGCATCAAATAAATGTCTTGTTCACTCTCTCCACACGCAAGACTATCGTCTTTCGACGACATTTGCAGATTACATGCAGACACGGGGCCAATTTTTTTTTTCAAAAGTACGCAGCCCGACGCTGTAATCATACCAATCATAGTCATACCGCATGCTGGGTCATTACGTCATAAATCAAACATGAAAACTTGTCGCTAACGCGAGCGTATATGGCGTGCTTACAGAAAGGGAGGGGGGAGATTTTCTTGAAGCTCTATCGAGAGGTCTTAGTGTTTCACCGGCACGGTGGGTTACAAGTCGGATCACATCCTGGCGGGGACTGATTGATTGCTTTTCTTTCCGGGGGACGGTCGATCACTCAATAAATCGGCTACTCGTATCTTCACCAAACGAATAGGCGATATGCACCGAGCCTTGATCTTCAAGGGGGCAACACTATCGCCGCGCCATAATGAAGGTCCGTTCGTATCCAGCTGTCCGTTCTTCGGCGTGCTGTTCCAGAGGACGTCAAAGTTGCCCTACGGATCTCGGCGCGTGGCAAGCTTTTTGCGCGTGTGGGGAACGCGCGGACCTCCAAAATGGCGACCCCGGCACTAGCGATCCTGGCGGATGACGTCATGGGCATACCTCCTATAGAATGGCAAAAAAAAAGCGATAAAGGGAGTAGCAGCTTCCAAAACGTCCAATAATGCACGTCGAGTGCAACGTGGATGAGTTCCCGTACGCCTTGAAGTTTATTATAGCAAAGGCTTGGCGGAAGGAAAATTCGTCCTATGTACGCAAATACTCCTCGGTGTGCACAAATCTGGAAAATACCAATTATTGCCATTTTTTCAGAAAAATTAAGAGAACTCACGGGGGGCCGACACCAATAGCGCCCGTCCTGCCTAGGACGGACGCTAGACAAACTAGCACCCGTCCCATTTACGTTTTTTCTTTTTTTGTGTGTGTGTTTGTTTCGCTGCGCTTGCTGTGATGTACGATGCATAAGTTTTACACCCACCAACTAACCCAAATTTTTTGCGTTGAAATGAGCCCAACGTTCGGCGAAAACTCTGCTCCACGAAGTGGAACAAAAATGCATGCGAAATAGATTTGTTTTTCTTTTTTGCCCGAGGAGGTATTAGAACCTGGGCACCCACAGTCCGAGAACGAGCGTTGTAACCACTCGGCTGTCCAGGCACGGTAGCAGACAAGGGTCTTATAAGAACCGTATGATTGCGTTACTGCACATGAGGGAAATATATAGAACGAGTTATAAAGAATGAAGGACGGAGAAATAAAGATATAGACAACAAGAAAAATCAAAAGCCCCGCCCCGGGCCTTGTGGCTAAGGTACTCGGCTGCTGACCTGCAGGTCGTGATGTTGAATTCCGGCTGCAGCGGCTGCATTGTCGATGGAGGCGGAAATGCTGTATAGGCCCGTGTGTTCATATTCGGGTGCACGTTAAAGAACCCCAGGTGGTCGAAATTTCCGGAGCCTTCCACTACGGTGTCTCTCATAATCATATGGTGGTTTTGGGACGTTAAACCCCACGTAAAATCAATCAATCAATCAATCAATCAGAAAGATAAATAGTAAGTGAGAAAGAAGTCATAGTGTATACAACCGCGACAGTTCATCAACAACCAGCCACCAACGTCGTCTTTCTCTTTCTTGCAGCAAGGCTGTGCCGGCTGTTGTGTATCAATATAATACATTGCTATATATAGTATATTGCTATGGCAAGGGCGTGGGAAAGGAAAGTAAGGATTAGGAGGGCTAGAGCAGCAGCTCCGACTGTATAATGCTTAGCTGCTTAAAATTTTCAAGACAAATCCCCGTAACTAGCTCAACTTTCACTTATTCTACAGAAGCTGCGCGGTCACTTCTTTCTCTCTCTCTCTCTCCACGCAGCAGCAAACCGTGTCTCACGGCCGGCCTACTCTCCGTCCACGTCCTCTTCGTCGTACGAGAGTTCGTCGTCTTCCCAGGAAGGGAGCCCCGACTACGATTCGCCTCGGCCCGTCTCGTCGAGAGCGTCCCGCTCCTGCGACCGTGAGTGCGCGGGTGCTTCGTTCCGTCCGTGTACACGAATGCCAAAATCTATCACGTAACAGGAAAAGGAAACTATTCGAACTGTATAGAGTTCCAAGTAAACAAAATAGTAAATGTGGTAGAGACCCACCCCATATTTTGTAAATTGGGGGTAGGCGCCGTCGTCAAACTGGGGCGTTTGTGGCAGTGCGTAGGCTCCGCCCAGCCCTAAGCTGACCAGTCCTGTCACAACTGATCGCGGTAGCATAAAACATAAGCTCAAATTTGTTGAATTTGCACACAATGTGGTGTATTGCATACCTTTGTCGTGTGGTTGTGTATATACAGGGCAGACTGGCAGGTACATTAGCACGAGGCTGAGGGAGCATATGTCAAGTCGGAAAGGTCGCCCTAACATCCATTACACTGCATGAGTGCGCGTGCTCTCTTTGTTTTCGCGACACTAGCTTGGTATATAGGAATCGAAACAAGGCGTCCAGGGAGGTATGGAGGCTTATCTTATAGACAGCAGAAAGACAAGTGTGTTAGTCACCCTTCGATAGTTTACTAGAAAAGAAATTTCGCTCACGTCTCAGTGAACTTGTCATCGTTATTTGTATGTGTGCGGAGCGCATTTGTCTTGTTTTCGTGATCAGATGGCGCAGATCCGAGGGGTATAAAGTGAATGTTTTTTTTTTAAAAACGACCAGTTGATTAGATTGTGCCCGTTATCTTTCTTTCTGAGTCCTTGTGTGCTTGCGCAAAAGTTTCAAGACAGTACTCTTTATGACAACTGGCACAGAAGCGCAGTGACCGCGCGAGCCTCCCGTTAGGATGCCTCACGCTTCTTCAGATTGATCGCGTCAGACTCGTGGTAAGGTTATAGAAAGGTTTGATACGAAGGGGTCAGACGCAATGAAGCAAGTAAAATTAACACCTCATCTTCGCGAAATTTGGGCAAGCTTACTCTAAGTAAACAACGTGCTGAACCTAACATCATGTTCATGCACTGACCTTCCGAGGCCATCTTCATTTCATTACACGTCCTTCATTACATTACACTACAACACTGCCGCCCACTGGTCAACTACTTTTAGGGGCGAAGCTCCTTATGGCGTGGCTTGGGCGTCCCTCGTAGTACGTAACCACCAGTGGCACATACCCGAAATAGGTATAACATTTGACCTCCAAGGTGGTTCCGGTGAGAGATTTCTTCTGTGCGTTGTTTAACAATAAAAAATAGTGCTCAATGTACATGCCAATGGCTGCTAATGGGGAATGAGAGACAGGAGCATTCGGCTTTTAGTCAACGCGCACGCTGCGATCCCCATTAGCAGCCATTGGCATGTACATTGAGCACTATCGGACAAGAAAGGGTTGCTACATTATACTCGCTGGGTGTAACCACCTTAGTTTTAAAAAGGTTTAGCGAGCGTTGAGCCGCAGGGCCATGAATACAATGAACTAGTATATACCATGAATGAATTCGAGGTGGTTAAAGTGGGGAAGCATATACGAAGCGCAAGCCGTAAGAAATTAAAAGCTGAATCCTCCTGTCTCTCATTTCACATTAGCAGCCACTGGCATGTACATTGAGCACTATATATATCTGACAGAAAAAGGTTGCTACGTTATACTCGCTGGGCGTAACCTCCTTGGTTTTAGAAAGGTTTAGCGAGCATTGGGCCGCAGTGCCATGAATACAGTGAACTAGTATATACCATGAACTCGAGGTGGTTAAAGGTGGGAAGTGGACCCGAAGCGCAAGCCGTAAGAAAGTGTGCGTGTGCCACCTCTCGTTTAGTCCTTGGAATGTCCGCTGGATGGCGGTGCTTCTATATGGGGAATATATGATGAAAAGATGCGAGATGGTGGTACTTGGAGTGCTGAATAGATGGACGAACGGACACACAGACAGATGCATAGATGGACGCATGAACGGACGCAGGCGCGGATGCATGGACGAATGCAGGGACGGACACACGAACAGACGCTCGCACGGACGGGTGGATGGACGCATGGACGGTTACACAGACGTTCGCAGGAACGGACGGAAGCAAGAACGAATGGACGGACGAATGCTTCGCCCCAATCCCCATCATTCACTCCGTGGATATGCTGCTATTTTTTTTAAATTCTCTAAGTGCTTATCTCTGTACGTCAGGTTCAGCAACTCAAGTGAAATCATATTTTCCTCCTCCTCCCATACGCTGCCTTTCAGCGGTGAACGTGAGCCCGGCGCAAGTGAGCCCACCGTCGGGATGGTACGGCAACCCTGGAGTCAGGCCTCCGACTCTCAGTGCCCCGGATGTCAGAAACAGAAGGACCGGTAGGTGAACGACAACCTGTCACACATTTGGGGGCCGTCACAAGGTGGAGTAAACGTATACCATACGGGTGGCGTCCGAAACTCGCTATCTGTGATGCGCTGCCCGCATCCGCTGTCTGAAACAGGTTGCTGCATGGTTTAGTCAGTTTATGTTCAGTGGATAAGCCACAGAAATCATGGCTGTTTCGCGCATATCGATAACGAGCTGAAGAGGAGCGTAGACTTACCGACCGTTTATTCAACATGTGTTGTGCATCGAATTATAAAGGCACAGATAAGCAGCAAGTTAAGAAAATTTCGAGCACGTATCGCCCTAATTACAACGTGTCATCTAAGAACTTTCCTTCTGCCAGCGAGAGTATAGACTACTTCACGGAAAAGTTTCGGTGCCGCCATATTGGGCTTTAACCTTTTTGTAGCGCATCTTTAACAACTAAACGGGACGGTGTTGCAGTATAGACGCATACACATGAAAATGGTTGAGTTGATGCATACGGTGTTTCACGACGTCGTTAACTAACACCACAATACACAAAAATCAGAAGACACTGACTTAACAGGCCTAAATGGTGGAGCCCAGATGTTTTAGGGCAAAATAGTCAAAATGTCACTGAAAACAAATCTCGTGCTTTCACGTGGAACGCCTCCGAGAATTCGCGAGGCGTCCCTGCTTTTACCCAGGACCTGAATCTTATTCAGGCTGCGGCTCAAACTTAGGCTAACTGCGGTGGGCTGGGTAATTTGCCCCATCTTTACCTTTAGAGATAGCCCTGAGTTCCCGCTACCCGCTATCCTGTTCCGCCACTATGCTGACGTTAATCTGACGTTAATGACGTTCATCATGGAGAAATGACGTTAATCTTGAGCAGTCATGTCACAACGTTCCAATCCATCAAAAGGGTTACAAGCGAAAGTCCCATTTAAGGTCAAAACTGCTATATGTCGGCTTTCAGATAGGAAGTGATGAGAGAAAAGAGGGAGGAGTTTGACGTCGTGCCGAGGGCTGCATAACACTGCCCAGCGAGCCGCACGTTGCCAACTGCTGGTCTAAACCGGTTCTGTAGTGTTCCACTTTAGCGTCTTCCTACGAGAGACATTGCCGTTGTCGTCGCAGACGACGAGGTCGGTCGCTGGCCGCTTCCGGCGTCCGCCGTGACGGCCACGTGTTCACCGCGTGCCAAGACTCCATTCCGGGTCACCTCGGCCGACAAGTTGCGCGGACAGCAGCAGCAGCAGATCCAACTGGCCGCGGCCGGAGCCGGCGAAGCGCAGCAGATGGAGCGTACGTCATCACACTGATGTATCAGTTGGGCACGTTCGTGAGGGTTCATTGTTAAGAACGGCGTAACAACACGATACACAAATGAAGAAAACACAAGAACGGGTGCCGGACTCGCAAATTACTATATATTCACGCTGACTCATACGTGCTGTGGGTTATCGGGGTGTCTCAGCTCGCGATTGCATCTGCGCAGAGCTAATAGACGGAGCGGACAATGGCGACGATGAGTTAAGGGAACATTTATGTACAGTATGAACAGAGGCGTAACATATTAGGCACTGGGGTAGACAGATAGGGCTAGTACCGAGGTGCTGACGATGACCCGAGATCTCTTCGTTAGTTCCCTCTCTTTCTCCCTCTTTTTCTCTCTCTCTTTCCCTTCCTCTCTCTGCTCAGCTTGGTTCTTTTATAGCCCCTGGGGATATCCCTCGCACCAGCCAGTAGTTCGGAGCCTCCATTCAGGAATGAATGGCGATGAGTCGCTTGCTGGAATCTGACCCATGGGTGAGGAAGATTCCCGCGCGTTGTTTGAGGGTTTGCCGTCGGTTACGTCAGGCGCGTCGCTAGAGATGCTGTGGATTGCATCATGTGCCTTAGTTGCCGCCCGTTGCGTCAGACAGCTCGCTGGTTGCATCAGCCAGTCTATCGACTGTTGACACCACTTCCATCAGACGATACCAACTTGTATACGTTACCGAAGCAATGGGTTTAGGTTGGAACTCCCAGGACTAACAGTGTTCACAAAAAACCGAGGTAATAGAAAATACGAGAGGTTCGTCGTGCTTGCCTACTCAAGTACGATATTTCTTTTTGTTGCAAGGCGATAGCTGGAAGGTGGTTGAAGGTGGTCCTCAATTTAAAAAAAAACAGCATCAACGCCAGGAGTAATAAACAGACAACTGGTGACATAATACTGACTTGGCACTACTCTAACCTTAACACGTGTAACTCGAAGCCACTCGAAGCCATTCCGCTTCGTCCATGGCCCACCAACGATTCGACACATACGGTGACGATCCGGGAGACTGAGAAAGGCACTTGTTCCCACGCAACCCAGGCACAGCCCGCGCAGCAGCCAATCGGAGAGTACCGGCACCACGCCATCTAGACTATCCCCACTCAACGGAAGTTCGTATGTATTTCTATGTGACAGCGCTCTCAATTATAGTGTCCGGAGATGCTGCCAGTAGCGCCTGACGTGGGACCCGGTTAGACTAGGAGGATCTTCACTACTAATATCGTAGTTGAGTAGGCAATCATAGTAGATTTTGTGTGTATTGTATTACCTTGGCTTTAATAATATGGGGGGTTTAACGTCTCAAAACCGTAGTATGATTATAAGAGACGCCATAGTGGAAGGCTCCGGAAATTTCAACCACCTGGGGTTCCTTAACGTGCGCCCAAATCTGAGCACACGGCTTTATAGGATTTTGATCTCCACCGATAATGCAGCAGCCGCAGCCGGGATACGATCCCGTTACCTGCGGGTCAGCAGCCGAGTGCCTTAGCCACTAGACCACCGTGGTGGGGCTCACCTAGGCTTATTGTGTGACCACGTATATATGTGTGTGTCAACGTCAATGAAGATGAGTTGCGAGTGCGGAGCCGTCCTGGCGTTTTCATCGTTCATGTATCGTGTTCTTACGCCGTTCTTAACCATGTGCGTCACACTTTTGAGGAACCTCCTTTGTATCTTGTGGAATTTGTGTGAAAGCGTGCGCAGAGTTTCCCTCCGGGAGAAGGGGGGGGGGGGGGCAAGTTCAGTCGCAGAGCCTCACCCACCACATTAAGTCAATGTAGGGGGCAGACTTTCGCGCTCTCTCTCATTAGGTGACTAGGGCAGGAGGGGGGGGGAAGCGCCACCTTATACACAGCTTTGTTGTTGTAGTCACCATCGTAATCGACTATCTTGTGTCGTTTTCCTTTCTGAGATAGTGAACGCCCGTCACTTTCTGGTCGCACTGACCGCGCTGTGTGCGTAACAAAGCAGTGTTGAGATGAAACAGCGTCAAGGCTACAATTTTCGTACTGGAACAATATAGGTTACAAATGGAAATAAACACTTTTCAGTGCACGTGGAAGGCAAGATTACGTACTACGAAGTAATTAACCTGCACTACTAATCGAAACAACCTTAAATGTAAATAAGTTACATCACATCATAAAGCTGGGTGTAAGTCAATGACATTTTGGCTATTACTTTTGAAAACTATTAAAGCTTGTTTGAAATCGGTTTACGAAAAGTAAATCATTCATTCACAACTCGCGCACTTTTTTATTTGCAGCACCATGAGTAATACACATGACGAATTTTGCGAGCGCCCGTGGTTTGTTTCCTGGCTGACACCCTCACTATTAAACCATATAATTGATATTTCTTTTTATTCAGCAGCAATTTGGGGTGAGTATTACGACAGTTTAGACAGGTGGTTGAAAACTCTGACATAAACTTGACTAGTCGCCGCTGTAAAACTCTGATCGATCACGTCATATACTTATGTGCTCAGTTTTCGACTATGAAAAAGACTGAATTTATTGTGTACAATTTTATCGCCCTAGTGTCTAAACTGTTAGCCTTGAGAAAACTGGAATCCTTCACGTTTAACAAACTTTTAGCATAGATTCTTCCAAAAGTAGTTCGCAACGCAGGAAGTTTTACAGAAGTAAAGGCGTAGACGGAAGCGCACGAACGTGTGCTCATCAAGCACAAGGAAGAAAATTTCAGAATTTCCAGAGACCGCCTATCAGTCTACTGGCTCTAGCGAAACACTCACTTTGCTGGATAGCGAACATTTTCAAGGTTAATTTCCTTGAGCGTCTACACAGTTATATTTTTTTCCACTGCAAAATTATTTGTCACATAGTGTCAAAACTAAGTATACTATCGTCACCGATCACAACGCCTCTAGCGCATGCCATTTGTGCATGCATCACGCATATAATGCTCAAGGCTTGAATAGAAGTGATGTTTTACACTTCGAAACAGTTGCTGTAGTGGTGAAATAACGTGTCGGTATTAAACTAAAGCTGAATATTAAGAAGGTCTTGCCAGCTCTTACATATTTACACTAGTCAGTAATTTTTTTCGTACGATGTTTAATTAGAAAGATAATTACAAGCCGCCATCTTCTCGTTTTTTTTTTCAAATAGGCGACCAGGATAGCGTCAGCACAGACGACAATTATCTCACAGGTGGGTAATAGCTAACTTTTCAGTGTGTTACCGACAATTATGAAATAAATTTAGAAAGTTATTCAACACATGGTGTGTCCTTCTCAGGCATATCTCTGCATTATGGTGGGAATATTAGACGTAAATGTTTATGTAGCATAATCGTTGCTTTTCCGAATCTCGTGCAATAACTACAACACAACGCGCCTTGTTTGGGTTCGCTTTCCTTCGCAGCACATCAGAGCAAGCGTTACAAAAGAGCGTAAAGACTTACAGTTCTCTTACACACACACCTAAGGTGATTGGAAGGCGAAATACATCTTCTTTTTCTTCTAAGATGGTGCATTATTCCTGCACCGCCCCCATCCACAAGCTTTCTGCACCTAATGTGGTTTTGCATAGCCTCCGAGATCGGGGTAACTTCACCTGGCTATTGCACTGTTTTCAGGATGTGCCTACGTTTGACATATGGATGATGTCGTGTGATGGCGCCATCATGTGATATTAGTTGCAAGGACGTCATGACGAAATCACACATTTTATAGACGTGTGACGTCACAATGACGTCACATGGTGAAGTCATCACGTGATGGTGCATTTTTGCATCACTCGTGTTGACGCAACCGAAGGAGGAGGCCGATGCAGAACGCCGGTCAATTTTCGCGTTTGATGAGGCACCTGAAAATTTTCCTAAAACTTGTACTGCGTTGTTTTGGCTTTCTCTCAAGGCAGGTAGTACTAACTGGCAGAACACGCTTTACAAAAAAATTAAAAAAAAGAACCTGTTTCAGTGTTATAGCTTTTTTGCAATGCACATCTCTAACAAGCAGAACACTCGTTGCAGCAAAAGATCTAACGTTATGTTGGCACAATTTTTTCGCAAATTCAGTTGGGGTGAATAAACTTTATTTGCTCAACGGTCGCGCCCGAGGTTGGGCTGCCAAAGACCACAGGTGGTATAAAACAAACAAACAAAACACTTTACGAAAAACAAGAAAATAGTGGTGTTGTATAAACATAAATTCCTCGTAAGGCAGTTAGAACTAACAGGCAGAACACGCTTTACAGAAAAAATACACAAAAAACGTGTTTCATTGTTATAGCTTTTTCACAGTGCACATGTCTCTAACAAACAGAGCACGCTTTAAAGAAAAAATCTAACGTTACGTTAGACTATTTTTCTAGCAAATTGAGTCGGGTTGAATAAAATGTATTTGCCCAACAGTCGCACCCAAGCTTGGGCTGCCAGGAATCAACAGTTAGTATTAAAAACAAAAAAACACTTAAAATATAAAAAACATCTGTGTTTTATCAACATAGCTTCCTCGTAAGACAGTTAGTACTAACAGGCAGAGCAAGCTTTACAAGAGAAATTAAAAAAAAAAAGCATGTTTCATTGCTATAGCTTTTTCGCAATGCAATTATACCTAACAGGCAAAGCACGCTTTACAGGAAAAGATCAAACATTACGTTGGCATATTTTTCTCGCAAATTGAGTTTGGGCTGAATAAAATTTATTTGCCCAATGGTCGCGCCCGAGGTTAGGCTGCCAATAATCCACAGGTAGTATTAACACACAAAAAAGCATTTAGAAAACAAAAAGAAACAGCTGTGTTGTGCTAACATAGCTTCCTCGTAAGGCAGTTACCACTAACAGGCAGAGCACGCTTTACAGGAAAACGTCCCACGCTGTATTGCGGAGGTATAGCTTACTCGCAAGACAACTTGTGCTAACAAGCAAAACGCGCTTTACGAAAAAAAAAGTCAAACGTCATGCGTCTACATTTCTCGCAAGGCAGGCAGTACTAACAAAGAAATCATGCTTTAAAGAGGGAATGAAAAAAACAATTCGGTATCATTGATATGTGCTTCCACAAATAAGTAGTTTTTTTAATTTTTGTGACTAATTTATTACCATCACGGCTCCATTTACAAAACAAAAAATCACCGCCATATCCACAAAGTGAATGATGTTATAGGAGCTTGCTTGAGTGTGCACGAGGCGTTTCTTGGCGAGACAGTTTTTGTTGGAATGCTTGTTGACAAGTCGGCGCATGATGTGTACGTTGAAGGCAGCGTTAGGCACGTCAATCGGCACGTTAACCATCTGCCCTTTTATGCCACGCTGGCTGCTGCTTACCGCGAGTCAAATGCCTAACGCTCATAAATGGCAAATGCGGAACTACCAGGCGTTCTTTCAACAAGGTTGAGAGCAGGCATGTGAGGGCGCTCGGGAGAATATCGGTACCCGTGCGAAACGCTTATCGTAGGAACTCGTCACGTGCTGCCGTGTCTACCAAACGACGAGAACAAAGTGGACGTAGTCGCGAGAAGGCGAGGGCGCAGGCCGTCGAAAACCGACGCCTTTGGCGGCGGCTCGCCATCTACTGAGCATTGTTATAACCAACGGAGAGGAGAAGTGTTTTCAGGGAACACTAGTGTACGCGCCGGCGGCCACTGAATGGACAGGACGCGAGCTCAAGGAGCAAGCTCCTAAAAATTGAAATGTTAGAACTTGCAAGCGAAAACGCATATTTTTCTGGTACTCCAACATTGTTTGTATAAGTTGAGTTACGTCCTACTAGATGTACTTCACTAATTTGCATTCGTTCTTCTTTTTTTTTCAGATTCGAGGTAGGTATTTTATTCGTTGCTACAATACACACGAATAATATAACTAACATCAAAAATTCAAGTTCACAATGTATAGCTGCTTCTCGGAATCATCTACAACGATGAGTTACGTGGTGCGTGTCACTGTGGAAAATGATACCGAGCATCACATGTGCAATCTCGACTCTACATTTAAATATGCTATGCAAGCAGTACGGTACGCTATTTACAATAACGTGGCTAGCAAGAACGCTTTGTTAACTGGACCATTATTAATGCTCCTAGCTACACTAATTAGCCGTACCGAATTCTAAACAAAATGACGCTTGCATTTTAATGTTTACACCGACAGTGAGCCTAGTAGAATGATCTGCGATTGCCAGTCATCTTGTTACGTAACTTCGTACATTCTTTCAATATCACCGTGTTCGACACACATGCCAGGATTGCAGACTACAAATGTGTTGGCACTCGAAGCGAGCACCTTCACTAGGCGTCCCGAGACTGATGGCAAGGCTGAGGACGTACAGGCTAGCAAGAGTACTGCTAGCGTCCCCTTCGGTAGTTGCCAAGTCCATTGCTTCTGCTGCTGCTGGTTTGAACGGCGCAGGTTTCTCGTTTTGTTGACGGGGACTCGGCGACAAAGCCATTTCCTGTTACACCGCTTCAGTGATCCTGTTCGGGGAAAGAGCAAGAGCGCTGCCTCTTGTACCCTCTTCCCCCTCCCGTAGCACCCGTTTTCGCTTATGGGGCGAAAAGAGCTGCTACGGGGGGTACAAAAGGTGGCGGAGTGGGTCAGTAGAAGAGAAAGAGCGGTCGAGTAAAGACGTATGGACGGCCGCTCAGGTGTTTTCCTTGTGATGTTCGGAAGTGCATTCTCTAGTGCCTGTAAATAGTGTAAATAAATCCAATGTACTCTGATCGAACTGTCCCTTATCTGATTGGCATTTTGTACAAGGAAATCACTAAGCTGCTGCTGTTGCTGCTGATACTACTACTACTACAACTATATTACTACTACTACTACTACTACTACTGCTACTACTACTACTACTACTACTACTACTATTACTACTGCTACTATTAGTTAAACTGCCGGTACTACTAGTACTTCTACTACTGCTACTAATACTTCTTGTTTTACCAATGTGCTATTACTTCTACTGCTTAATACTACAGCTCACCACTGGCACTATGTTATGTAGTCACAATTGTGGTTCTAGTGGTACCACAACGCTGACGTCACTGTTATGAACGCACAGCACCCACGTCGACACCTCCAGCTCGTGGTGGCTCCTGCCCGTGATGGTATTCGGTGCGTGCGCGGGCCTCGTCTTGCTCGCTGTCGCCGCTCTGGGCACCACGTACACCTACCGCTCTGTGATCGCGCGCTTCGCTGGTAAGTCGGCAGCTGTGTACGCCGTTAGAGTCGGGCTTGTTGGCACGAAGCCGTTAGTTAGCTTAGATGAGATAAAGAAATGACGAGGAAGAGCAAACAGACGGGACGAAATGCTAGCGTCATGTCGGCTCCTTTGTTCTCTTTTGCCCTTATTCGACGTGTGTCAAGTGAGTACGTGTTCACTACGTTAATTAGCATGTGATCAAGATTTCGATGAATAGCTCATCACAATGGGCGTAAATGTACTTGCGCGGCTATGCGTTTGTTCTGTTGTACTTAATTCGTAACTACATTTATAAAACTAAGTACTCTTTCTCTTTCAACAGCAGCAGAAAAAGCCGCGAGTGAACACGAGGGTACGTATGAACATTTTTTCCTAGTTATATAGTATTTCTTTCCTTCATTCTTTCCCTTCTTTGTTTTTCCTTCTTTCGTGCCGCATTTCTTTCTTTCTTTCTTTCATAAAAGTTGATCTCTTCTGTCTCTACTTATACGTCACATTCTGAAGTTGTATAGTGCGTGCGTTAATGACGGGCATCGCATTCGACCGGTCCTTACGTTTACGGTACCACCGTAACACTGCAGCAGTGACAAGTCCATTGTAAGAAGCTAAACTCACCGAATACTCAAGCTATCTCGCAATGAGCTCGGGTTGCTTTGCAAGAGGTCTCGTCAGTCGCATAAAAAACTTTGCATTAATTTCTTTCCCCTGTTTGGTACAGCACTTTCGCGCAATGCCTGGGCTTGCCGACTCATTACACTGCAACATAGTAACATAGTTTACACAAATATAACAATGATGTACGCATGTCTTCTTATTCTCTCTATTCACTCTACCTTCGCCTAGCGGACTTCGGAAACAGAAGCATCCTCCTGACGGAAGACGAAGGTATGTACGCCTTCGCTTAGGCTGGCTTGCGCGTGGGTCTGCAGCTTAAGTTCCAAATTATCGCCTTAAATTATCATAGCGTGGGGTGAGATGACTCATTGGACAACTGTTGATCGAGGAGGAAAGAGACTAGTTGTATTAACGAAAGAAAAGTTCAGCTATATGAATAACCACGAATATGTATTTTTTTTATAATGAACTGCGATATAGTAAACTGAAGAAAGGTGTTTTATAATCGCTAAAATATGCCCAAAGAAATAAACCGTCGTGCGCGAACTACATTATTTACCACATATAAAAATAATGTATGCAAGCTACGTAAAGCTCGTGTTGGGATCACTAAGCTGCTGCTGTTGCTGCTGATACTACTACTACTACAACTATATTACTACTACTACTACTACTACTACTGCTACTACTACTACTACTACTACTACTACTACTATTACTACTGCTACTATTAGTTAAACTGCCGGTACTACTAGTACTTCTACTACTGCTACTAATACTTCTTGTTTTACCAATGTGCTATTACTTCTACTGCTTAATACTACAGCTCACCACTGGCACTATGTTATGTAGTCACAATTGTGGTTCTAGTGGTACCACAACGCTGACGTCACTGTTATGAACGCACAGCACCCACGTCGACACCTCCAGCTCGTGGTGGCTCCTGCCCGTGATGGTATTCGGTGCGTGCGCGGGCCTCGTCTTGCTCGCTGTCGCCGCTCTGGGCACCACGTACACCTACCGCTCTGTGATCGCGCGCTTCGCTGGTAAGTCGGCAGCTGTGTACGCCGTTAGAGTCGGGCTTGTTGGCACGAAGCCGTTAGTTAGCTTAGATGAGATAAAGAAATGACGAGGAAGAGCAAACAGACGGGACGAAATGCTAGCGTCATGTCGTATCCTTTGTTCTTTTTTGCCCTTATTCGACGTGTGTCAAGTGAGTACGTGTTCACTACGTTAATTAGCATGTGATCAAGATTTCGATGAATAGCTCATCACAATGGGCGTAAATGTACTTGCGCGGCTATGCGTTTGTTCTGTTGTACTTAATTCGTAACTACATTTATAAAACTAAGGTACTCTTTCTCTTTCAACAGCAGCAGAAAAAGCCGCGATGTGAAACACGAGGGTAGTATGAACATTTTTTCCTAGTATATAGTATTTCTTTCCTTCATTCTTTCCCTTCTTTGTTTTTCCTTCTTTCGTGCCGCATTTCTTTCTTTCTTTCCTTCTTTCTTTCATAAAAGTTGATCTCTTCTGTCTCTACTTATACGTCACATTCTGAAGTTGTATAGTGCGTGCGTTAATGAACGGGCATCGCATTCGACCGGTCTTACGTTTACGGTACCACCGTAAACACTGCAGCAGTGACAAGTCCATTGTAAGAAGCTAAACTCACCGAATAACTCAAGCTATCTCGCAATAAGCTCGGGTTGCTTTGCAAGAGGTCTCGTCAGTCGCATAAAAACTTTGCATTAATTTCTTTCCTCTGTTCGGTACAGCACTTTCGCGCAATGCCTGGGGCTTGCCGACTCATTACACTGCAACATAGTAACATAGTTTACACAAATATAACAATGATGTACGCATGTCTTCTTATTCTCTCTATTTCACTCTACCTTCGCCTAGCGGACTTCGGAAACAGAAGCATCCTCCTGACGGAAGACGAAGGTATGTACGCCTTCGCTTAGGCTGGCTTGCGCGTGGGTCTGCAGCTTAAGTTCCAAATTATCGCCTTAAATTATCATAGCGTGGGGTGAGATGACTCATTGGACAACTGTTGATCGAGGAGAAAGAGACTAGTTGTATTAACGAAAGAAAAGTTCAGCTCTATTGAATGAACACGAATATGTATTTTTTTTATAAAATGAACTGCGAGATGAGTAAACTGAAGAAAGGTGTTTAATAATCGATAAAATCTGCCCAAAGAATAGAAACCGTCGTGCAGCGAACTACATTATTTACCACATATAAAAAATAAATGTATGCTAAGCTTACGTAAAAATCTCGTGTTGCCATAAATATTATGATTGTTGCAAAACTTTTGCTGAAAAATTTGACGTGGCATCTTCTTCTATGGTACAGCCCCAGAACTTTGTGACCAGGAAGTTTGAGATAGTAAGTTTGCGAGTGATGTAAGACTGAATTTAATCAAACGGCAGCGTACGTGTTGTTCGTACGTTTTAGAACAGGCCATAATTCTAAATCCAAGACGGCATTTTATTGTATCTCGTGGTCTCTAAGCTCATAACGCTAGCTGAAAATAGGGACTTACGTAATTGTGGTGTCGGTTTCGGTTCGCCGAGTTAAAATGTTGCAGACTTCGTGGATCGATCTTCTAGGTTTCCATATTCAACAACTTCTGTTAACAAAAAAAAAAATAAAACCTATTAGCGAGAACTTTCTTCTGCCTGCAGAACATACGTTACGAAATTCAGCGTGGCCTCAATCATGTTAGAATAGGTTATACTGTCAGAATAACACAACGGGCTTATATCAGTCAGTAGACAAACATGTGTGTGTGTGTGTGTGTGTGTGTGTGTGTGTGTGTGTGTGTGTGTGTGTGTGTGTGTGTGTGTGTGTGTGTGTGTGTGTGTGTGTGTGTGTGTGTGTGTGTGTGTGTGTGTGTGTGTGTGTGTGGTGTGTGTGTGTGTGTGTGTGTGTGTGTGTGTGTGTGTGTGTGTGTGTGTGTGTGTGTGTGTGTGTGTGTGTGTGTGTGTGTGTGTGTGTGTGTGTGTGTGTGTGTGTGTGGTGTGTGTGTGTGTGTGTGGTGTGTGTGTGTGTGTGTGTGTGTGTGTGTGTGTGTGTGTGTGTGTGTGTGTGTGTGTGTGTGTGTGTGTGTGTGTGTGTGTGTGTGTGTGTGTGTGTGTGTGTGTGTGTGTGTGTGTGTCAAATCGGCAGAAAGAAATACTTGCACGCCTCAGAACTCCCCGAGGAACAAATAGCATATGACAGTTCCCGGTTTGGTCCTTGCCCATGGCCGTTCTCTTTTCGTCCACTTCTATTTATTCCCACTTGTATCGTAACTTCCACAGTGCAGTCTGCTGGTTTTCATTAGAACTCCCTGAATAATTTTTACATCACAATACTTGTCATCTTCGGTTTCATTTACAGAAGTTATACTGTATCGTGACGTCGTTATGCGAAACGCCCCGTGCGATGACATTGCGCCTGTTTGGCCACTTTAGTGATGTCTTTTAGTCACTTGCAAATACTGTCACTTATTGCTAATGCAGATGTAGCCACGTAGACCACCCCCCTAAGAATGAGTGTGAAAACATCACAACGTCATGGCGTCACACGACCCAGAGAGTTTCCTAAAATTAACTAGACGCGACGCTGGCGCTGCGATCGTTTAGCCACCATGGGATTGATGGGTAGCGCACAAGTTCGCCTCCGTGCTTGCAGACTCGAACGCACTTTGTTTATTGCTCGTTTATTGCCATGTTTTGGCTTTGTTCCGGATAAAAAAACAGGCCGTTGTGAAGATAGTGAGCCGCTTTAGATTGCTAAGACCAGAAGGTAAAGGTGGTGAAGTGCGACTACTCTACATTCTCTGACTGTCGTCTCGTGAGAATGTAGCTACAGGCCACGCGAAGCCGAACAGAGCCAATAGTATGAACATTGGGCAAAGTTGTGTACTACCAATCATCTTTCCTATGCTGGGCGGAACGCCATGCGTTTCAGCTTCGACATATACCAATGTCAAGAGTTCCCTGTAGCGTACTTATAGGAAGCTCTATAACACGACGTCCTGTACATTTTCGTACAGTTACAGGCAAGTATATGCGCGCGCAGCGTTTCCCAACAGGAAGGGAGAAAGTGTTATACCACAGTTCCACTTTCGCTATTTTGGCGGATTCGAAAGGAAATGCTCCGCAATGGATGCGCAAACGAAAATAGAGCGATCAGGTGCTTCTTACTGCAACCCACTTTTGTCGTTCCGCTCTACGAAAGTAAATGTTCGAGGCAAACAGCTCTCTCTCTGCAACGTCAGGTCGCCATTATTGTCACAAAAGTTTGCGTCGCCACAAATCTCGGCATTAAGCACTGTCGTAAAAGATCGTATTGAGTGGAGTTAACGGCGCACACGTGGCATTCCTCCACCTTTAAATGATTCGAGGGGAGCGCCCTCCTTTTGCGCACGCCTGTGGTTGCAGGTATGTACAGTTTCGCTTTGGGTGTACGAGGTCCAGAAACGGAACTAAAACTGCCTGCAAAGCTGAGATAATAAACCGTTTAAGGGATAGAGCTTCGTACAATATTTACTGCGGGGAACCTGCGCTGACATTGTTCAGCCACTATGGGAATGATGGGTAGCGCATGAGTTTGCCTAGTCTTAGTGCTTTGCCTAGTCTTAGTGCTTTGTCTAGTTTTAGTGCCTAGTCTTAGTGAATACAATCGGAACTTCGTGAGCTAATTTTAATTGGTGAGCCTAAAAAGGTTGAGGCGGTGCAGTGAAACTGCTGAACATTAGCTGATGGTCGTCTCGTGACAAAGCGGCTCCGGGCCACACGGATCCGAACGAAGCCAAAATAACGAATAATAAACAAATCCGAGCATCATTCTCCCGCTGGCTGAAGCGTCGTGCGTTGCAGCTCCCATAGACACTAGCACCACAGTGACCTATACTGTACTTATAAGAAAATCTATGGTTCAAGGCACTCTGAAGCGTGACATCCACACTATTTAATGTTTTGAGGCCCAGAACTTTCATTCCGCGCTGGAGATGAATAATTAAAAAGGAAACACAGCGGTACTCTAAGACAGAACTTCAGCGCACGCTTTGCTTAGCAAGCCTTCTACATGCCGTGAAATGTGGCGAAGGCCAAGCCGTCGGCCTTCTGTCAGGCGTTCCCGAGTACAGCGAAGACCGGGACGACGTGGCCGACGACGGCGCCAACGGACCGAGGCCCCGGATCTGGTGCTTCCTGCGACGCCTGGACACGCCGTCGAGCAAGACGTCGTCCGGCGGCCACCGGGGCGCTAGCGTCGCACCCAAAGGCCTGTGCTCGGCGCTCGTCTACCAGGGAGCCCGGGTCGTGTGGCGAGACGCCGAGGCTAGCATCGACGTCACGCAGCCGTGCAAGTCAACGTTTCTTGCAAGTTCATTGCGATAGCGACTATACGGACACTCGAAGCGCATTTCCGCCGTCGCCGTCATGTCCCACATAAAAACCGAAACCATATGTACCACCCCTGCGCGTCGTACGTGGCGAAGGAGCATGAAGGCGGGCTGACGTCGAGGGGGAGCGGGGGGACTTCGTCGTTTGGGCAGCAACTGCGAACTTTGATAATCAAAATTGATGGGAGTTATGCGCTCCAAAACTACGATAGCGTTCAGGGGTGCTGAAGTAGAGGGTTCCGGTGATTTCGACCACCTAGAGTTCATTAACCTGCGCCAAAAGCTAAGCAATTGGGCCTATATCAACCAGCGTCCACCGAAATGTCGTCATCGCGGCCAAGATTTAATCCGGCGATTTTCGGGTCAGCTGTTGAACATCATAGCCGTGCACGAGACCACCGTGACGAGTGTCAAAATTTGACCAAAAGGGCGTGGTCACGTGCAACGGGTGTGCACTCACCGTTTACATTGAAGAGAAAAGACAGCACAGTTAAAGCGACAGGCCACGCTAGAAGCGTTTCTCTCACTGAAGCGGTTGTAGTCCTTTACGCCAGCATTTTTTTAAAGTTAGGCTAGATCAGATTCCAATGAAATTGGCCGCTGGCTTTACTTCGACCGCAAATTTGTTCTTTCGCATTAAGCCGCAGTGATACTCGAAGTGATACTGACGTCAACAATTGGGTTACTTGAAGAGTCATGTATCCTATAAACTAATAACGATAAAAACAACCGTCGTACAGAAACCGCCAATCGCAAGTATTCTTTAAATCAGGAAATTGCATTTATGTAAGCGCCAATACACAATCGGTGGATTGCTCCTTCAATTTTACATTAAATCTTAGGATCACTTAAGTCAGCGTAATCGACCAAATATTTTTCATAAAAGCACAATAAAAGTGTCGAGAAAAAAAACAACAAAAAAAAACCAAGTAGCTGACTTGCAATCCTACACAAATACGAGCTGTGCTTGGCATCCAACTAGTTTTTTCGCCGGGAAGTTTTACGAACTTTGTTTGCGTTATCGGCTTTCACAGCCGATGAGGATGCTCTGCGGAGACTGGCTGCCAGGCGGGACGTGGACCCACTGCTTGAAGTCTACGTTCACGTGTCAAGCGACCAGCAGCCGGTAGCAGGTCAGTAACATGGATAATGATAATCGCTTGTAGAATAGTTATGGATGATGATATCACTTGTAGAATAGTTGATCGCTGAGGAAGGGTGGGGGGCTGACAACTCCAGAAGTGTTGCTGTTCTCACATTTCTTATGCACTTCTCATCGCCCTTCGGGCTTTAGAATATTATCACTTGTAGAAATAACAATGGTCTTCACCTTGACCGAAATGATGGGCAGTACTAGCAGTGAGCATAAAATTAGAACAGGGCACTTCAGGACTTGTGAGATAAATCCAAAATCACCTGATCCAGATGCTGTATGTTTAGGCTTTATTTGTGTATTGATGCTTTATTTGGCTAGAAATATATGCATCCGCACCACTATAAGTTTTCTTCTGTCATATGTACGCCATGTTTATGTAGCTTTTTACTTGTGTTCTTCTTGCTATCATGATTTTCAGCTGCCCATTATCGTCGCCTGCTCATTAAGTGCTGCTCCTGTTCGTTACGTGCATCTGTCCATTGTTATGTCCGAAGCATTACGTGCTCATGTCTCCTGTGACCATGACGTGCTCTTCTCCATTATGCGTCCCTCCCCATTATAAGCCCTTATCCCTCTTGGGCGCTCACCTGCCATGTGCCTGTCGGTTATGTGACGTAGTTCACCACGTGGTCCCTTGCACTATTTGCTCCTATTATGAGGTCCTGACCATAAAGCACTCATTACACTGCAACCTACTGTCTATTATGCACCCTCACCTATTGCCATTTCCCCATTTCTAGGGCGTCTATCTTTTAAGTGCGTCTGCGCATTATGCGGTCTAGTCTATTGTGCACTCGTGTGCATTATGTGGTCCAGCCGATTACGTGTTCCTGTCTGTTATGAGCTGCTGTCCTATTGCAAACTACTTTTCCCCTATCCTCGCCCACTCTCACCTCATGCAGGCTCGGCTCTTGCCGCCCCCTTGGCATCGGCCAGCGCTCGCTCCCCTACGTCGTTGTCGCCTACGTCACAAGCAGCTTCCGCAGCTCCACATTCCTCCGCTACCACCAAGGAGGCGCTGCGGTCGCTCCTGCGCTCCCCACAGGGCACCACCGAGGTGTTCGCCATGCGCACGGCCCGCTGGTTGGTGGTGCACCACCTGGACGGTCTGGTCGTGGAACTTGGCAGCGCCGTCAGCGGAGTCACCACCGAACTCATCACGCGTCTCGCCGAGGTACCCGGTGACGCGAAAGCCCTTAACTCTCGCGAAGGGTCGCGAGACAATAGAGAGTTTTAGTAGTGCGGAATGGTGCTACGTACGCATCACGCAAGCGCCTTGCGTTAAGTGGCGTCCTTTGCCACTAATCGGCTTTTAGTACGCCGTAGTACCCGCGTACGTAACGAGCGAGAAGCGTGTTGCGCCGTCTGGTAGATCAAAATAGAAGCACGTGTTGTTGACAGCCAATGTGAGCCAATCCAAGTGTTATAGCCAGATTATGGCCATATTTTAAGCCACAGAGCCGGTCGGTGCTTGCCTTCGACGCCGCCATTTTGCAAAACGAAGTCTCGCGCTGTCGCGAACTTGTTCGAGAGCGGCGCAATCAGCTCATACGTACGCACGCACGCATCTCATGCGTGCGTGCGTAGCGGCTGCGTACGTAACGCGATACGTGCGCATTGCGGTCTGCGCATGCGCACTACGCAGAACGTGGCGTCCTTACGTACGCAACGCCGCCACGTACGCAGCGTACGCAGTACTAAAACTCTCTAGTCATAGGGGGAAGGATACTGCTCGCATGCCTTACTTTGATTAGGGACGAATCCTTTAAGAAGTCCGCTGCAGTGGAGCAAATGGTTACGGCTGCTGACACGAAGGTCGCGGGATCGATCCCAGACGTGGCAGTCGTTTTTTTTTTTGACGGGGGCGAAAATGCTTGCGCACTGGTCAGAGTTTCGAAAACCCTCCGCTACTTTTAGGATGACTGCCAGTTGGCCGTGTAGGTAAAGGTTCACGATGAAACAAGCGCTAAAAATACACACACTCAGAGAGGACACATCCCCGTGTTGAGAGACGCTCCTCGACTCGGATTCCGTCCTTCACTTGACTGAGTTGAGCACTGCGCCGCTGCTCGACCTGAAATTGACGCTGCGCTTCTCAAGAATCGCTGCAGGAACATTGCCGATATTCAATGCCTTGGTTCGCCAAGAGATGGCGCTCCCATCGACTTTTTTCAAGTCAAGGAGAGCCCTTGAGGGAAGGAGCGTTTGTGAATACGGGGGACAGACACCTCGCCTGCTGCGTCCATCAAAACATATAGGCATTATGATGTGTAAAACTACCGATACTGAAATTATTTCTGTTAAACATTCACCGTATATGAATACCACCATTTCGCTTCCTTCGATCCACTTTTGCTTCAGATGAATTTTAATTGCTTGATTAACGCAAGCCTGACAGCCTGAATATATGCTCAAACGATTTGTGACGAGGCAGTTTTAAACTCGGTGTTGGCGCATGAGAGTTTCATAAAGCAAAAGCAATAGGGAGCACCATTTCTAATATTCTTCAATGTGTCGGCTTGGCTCCTGAAGCTTTGATGCTAATGCCTCTATGCCTCTGCACAAGCGCTGCTTCTGAGCGCGGGACAAACCAAGTCGAATACTCGCGTCTCCTCGCCCACGATGCGCAGATGTGCCAGCGTCAGCTCGGGCGCATGGGCAAGTCGTTCACGCTGGTGCTGCCGGAGTCGACAACGCTTTTCGCCCAGTACGACCTGAATGCCCTGCTCACCACGTAAGTGCTCATACGGTTACAAGGCTGTTGAAGGCGCCACGTGATGCTTCATTCCTAAATGTAGCAAAGTGAAAAAAAAAGATCAACTTTGTTACTGCTTCACTGTGTCAGGTGGCATCATGCATGCAACCTTTACGAATGACTTAATTTATTAAGTTTTTATTTACTCAATATTTATTTATGTAGTTATTTACTAACTTATTTAGGTGGTTAGTTGTTCCGTAAAGACCGGAAGAGATTGCAGACTTCAGGTGCATTAACACTTAATATTACAATGAGTAAGAGCTTAGGCATTAGAAGGAAGTAAATATGAGATACAAAAATAATAGTCGGTAATGGCTGAAGAAAGCGGGGAATAGAACTGGGAAGTCAGCGCAAAGCAGTGGTCAGGTAGAGCATGCACTGACCTCTGTGATCGAGCGTCTGCAAGTCTTGCCCGTCAGCACGCCATCTCGGAGGCCATAGTCGGAGCGAAGGAATCGATATGAAGGGATGGGCAGAGCAGCCGAGGACGACATAACGCTAGGTGGCTCGACGAAAAAAAAAACTGGAATCGGCTTGTGCGATACGGGGGTCAGTTTCAGATAACTGGTACATGGCCTTCGTCCTCCACTACACAAGTTTGATGATGATGATGATGATGAACATGACGACGACGATGATAATGATGATGATATGCATGTAGTACAGAGTTCTGATTTGCTTTCTGTGCAGTGTCAATTGTATCGCTAAATAGTGCCTTGTGTATTGCCTTCTGCGCGACTGTGGCGCATGCCCAGGAGGGGCCTGTACCCAATCCAGCGGACCCACCTGACCAGTGACCTCAGGCGCGCCAGCTGTCCAGCGCCCTTCAAAGGGGCGTACTTTGGAATTGTGAGTGCCTATCTGCCGTGCTTGCTGTGCATCGTGTCGCGTAGTGCATTCTTTCGATCCTATTAGCTCGACTGCAGAGAAGTACATAAAACAAAAGAGAAGTAATGTAGGCTAGCGTAAGGTTTGCCAAACCGCACCTGAGTGAAGATATTAAACAAATCAGCCCCTTCCGCACCTTGAAAACCGTCGGAAAGCGAAGTTGTGAGTGCGCGAGTCCGTTCGGATGGCTGGCGAGATAAGGTGGTGTCGTGAAAGCGCTCGCTCGCACCTCATTAGTTGAGCAAAGATCACGTGACTTGCTAACGCTGGCAGTGTCGCTTCAGCGAACGCGTCACACTATTTGCCGCCGCCGCAGTCTGAATCCCGTAAATTGTGCGCCTCCTTGCGGCTGCATTACCTTTTACGCGTCCACAATTCATCTTCCGCAAGCGTGGTTGTAGTAATAACGTCTCAAGTTCTCCGTCCCGAAACCGCGATATGCTTATGAAGGTCGCGGCGTAGTGAACGTCTCCAGAAATTTCGGCCACCTGGTGATTTTTTTAACCTGCACTGACATGGCTCAGTACAGATGCCTCTACCGTTTTGTCTCCACCGAAATGTGACCACCACGGTTGGGATGAGGTTACGACGCCTGCCTTGGGGCCATTCCAAGGTCCTCGGGCTCAACCAATAAATAAAGAAATTATTTCCTTACTCCCATGACAAGTGAACTCAGGCGCAGAGTCGAATAAGACAATTAGCTGTAAATCGAGTGGCAAAGCTGCTGCTTTATGTCGTGATACTGTTCTTTCTTTTTCTTAAAAATGCCGAAAGGCCCCCCCCACCCTCCATTCTAAAGAAAACCCCTTGGTAAACTTTATTCATAAGATGTTTCGCGCTAGAGTTACCCTGTCTTGGAGCGTCCGAGCAACGTGCCCTTGTTTGACGCCGATGCCCTATAGGAGCACATCCTGAACCGCACCCGTGCGGCGCTGGGACGGGGCCACCGACGCCAGGGCCTGTCGCGCATCTTCTTCAGCGTCAGCCTGCTCGGGGCGCACTTCCTGCTCGACAGGGAACCCGCGCCCAACGAGAGCGTCGCCTTCGCGCCGGCGAAGTTCCAGGGATTCATGCCCTACTCGCAGGTGAGAGGGAGGGGCGCGCACGTCTTTTTGCGGGGCCATGCTTGTCAATTAGAAGAAATGTTCAACCGTTAAAAGAGCCCTGAACACTTTTTCAAGTAACGACGGAATGATATTACTAAAAGAGGTTATTGCCTGACGAATTCAACGCCGCAAAAATTATAAGAATCCGTCCAGTACGAGTGGAGTTACAGAGATTTGTCGCGCGCTGCAATTGCATTTTCTCTTCTCCGGTCCCGACGAAAGCGCTGGACGCTTAGCAGGGACGGGATGGACAGCGGCAAAGGAAATACGTCACGCGCGCTCTCGTGACCTTGCGGAAGTTTTTTTTCTTTCTTCGAATACGCCACTTTTCCGGTGTGATTGCGAGCGCCTGCGTGGACAAGTGGCGGCATGCCGCGGCGATTTTTCTAACGACCGAGCGCGCATTTTCAAATCAGCCATTGGCTTATAGAGGCCTTCTACGAGAGATTTTGAGCGTCATTCCATCATTTTGTCGAGAGAAGAGAAAGCAACGTATAGCTGACTTTGATAATTCATTATGAATTGTAGGCCACGCGCGCTGCGCTGTATTATTTGGCTCGCGTGTTCTGGAGAGTCTCTACTACCAACCGGCAGTGTTTTCTGACCATGCTCAAAAAGTGTTGCAGGGCCTATTTAGGAGTACGATATACTCAACTGTGGGAGAGCAATACGCTGTGCCAGTTAAGATGAAAAAAAAGAAACGATTTACTATTTAGAGCTCTACGTATCATACTATTTAGAGTATTGGTACTGTACTGTGAGAGAGTAGAAAGTCGTCTCAATCAAACAACGATGCGTCGACTATTACACATGCCATTAGACGAGAACGTGTGTTAAGAAAAAAAAAACGATTTACTATTTAGAGCTCTACGTACCTATCATCATGGGAGACGCCTTTGCCCTGCAGTCGGCGTTGTCAGGCTGTTGATGACGATGTTGCAGTGTATACTATGGGAGAGCGCTAAGCTCTCCTTGCATGAACGGTGAGCTGTCTTGGGAACGTGTGTTTAGAACATATGTTCGACGATTTAGAGCTCGCAGAACTCGGCTATGGGAGATCGTTTAGAACAAATGTTCGACGATTTATAGTAAGATGTACTGTAGTATGGGAGAGCAATGAACTGTCCCAGACCCAATATACATTGCTCACGCTATAGAAAGAGAGTAATTAGAATACTTGGTATACTGAACAATGGATCTGTGTGTTTAGAAAAAAAGTGCTAACAATTCAGAGTACTTGGTACTCTACCACAGGCAACCATATAGCAGTCCCGTGGGCCTCATACTCGATGAAGCCATGCTACCTAGAAACAGCGAAATAATCAGGGATGTGTGTGTTTGTTTAGAAAAAGTTGCTAACAATTTAGAGCACGGGGTACTCTGCTATGGGAGAGCATAAAGCCGTCCCGTGGGCCTCAACGAATGACGTCGGCTTATGTAAATGAATGTGTTTAGAGAAATTTATTCTCATGGACAGTGAACATCAATTACAATCCAACAGAACATCGCGACGGAATACAACATCCACAGACACACCAAAAGTTGTTACAAAGGGATACGTTCACAAATGTACACGAAACACAACATACACAGATACACAGGAATTGTTACAAAAAGATATGCTTACATATGTGCAATACATGGTAAACGAAGAACACACAAATGAAATGTAAAGATCTTTATGTTAGGTACTTACATAGTATTTACAAATTATTTGTGCGAGTAAGAAACAAACATTAACCTACCAAAACCAGGCAGGTCTGAAAACAAGCTTTACACGTCTCTCGCAGACGAAGACAAAGGGGCAGGACCAGTGTCGAAAGAATTCTTCCTCGCCGAGAAAGAAGAGTTCCCCCGACAAAATACATGGTATTTCTTTGTATAGTCGCTCCAAAATCGAAAAGAGAGCGCGACAGTGACGACCAATCACAACGATTACGCCGAAGACAGTAGGCACCAGCAACAACGAGAAGGCAGGCGAAGCGGTCTCGAGAACAACGTCCAGAAGAAACAAAGCGGTTTACTCCGAGGCCACGAAATTCAGCATGCACGGCCCTCCAGAAAACACGAGCAACGACGCATTGTCTTAAAACATGCTGATTTGCTTCCAGTAGAAAGCAGTTCGGGCATGATGCTGACTGGACCATTCTCCACCTTTCGAGGTGGTCAAGGGTAGGAAAAAACGCCCCACCCCAGCCGCCACATGAAGTCCAGGGGTTGGCCAGCCAGAAATGATGCCGTCAGCGTGCTTCAAGACATATGACTAGAGCTGGGGCGGCGTGCTGGAGGAACTAATGGGAGCAACAACAAAGCGACTGTTGTGTCAACGATAGGATTGTCTAACACATCTACCTCAGGGCAAGTCGACTGGATATGACGAAAAAACGCGACAGCTGTTGCATAAAACGAAGGAAGTGTTACTGATTGTGGGCCTCGATTAAGGTGCACATTAGGCATTAAATACCGAACGTGAGTGTCTAGAAAATAATATGCCAGAGTTCGCGCGGGGGATTCCTCTTTTTGTATGAGGCGCAACAGGAAGCGCAGGGTCAGTAGCCGGCAGCCTATTAATACCGAAGGGAAAGCAAAACCTTCCTGGGAACGCTGCTGTCCGAACGCCGCACAAGAAACCAACTCAGTGCCACCGTACCAAAAGAAGGAACACAAGGCAGACTGCAATGACCTCACGATGCGTAAAGGCAGCTGCTCCACGCGAAAAAGCTACCAAGTGCGACCGCAGAACACAGTCTGCGCAAGGTACCGCCGCTCAAGAAGCGGGAAGTCGAAATCCCGTGTGTTCTCAATTTTTTGTTTTACTTCGTCGAGGGTGTTTGACGAAACGTAGTTACAAACGCTGTAGTGGTTGTATAGAATTAATTAAAATGCGTAGAGACGGCCCCGGCTGAAGAAGAGATGCAGAGCAAAGTCTGGAGTTTGGACAGCCGATGAACAAATACCGAGATTTAGAGAGGTTTAACGCGGCACCTGAAATGTCACGGTAATGAAAGAATAAACGCAGGCTATGTGAAAGACTGTCTTTTTATTTATTTATTTTATTTTATTTACAAAATACTGTCAACCCTCCTTGAGGGTTATTACAGGAGTGGAAAGGATACAAACATTATACAAGCAAGGCAATATAGTGGCAATACAAGAAGAGTACATAAGAAACGCGCGATCATGATAATAAGTAATGTATACATCATACAGGCATAGTTGCCTTGAACCAAATGATGAAGAAAATAAAATAAAATGTTAGAGTGTGGATGCTTTCTCCCGAACGCAATTAGGTTAACACCTGGAACTTGGGAGCACAGACATGAGTTTTTCAACGCTTTCTAAAAATTTTTGAAGTGTTGGCTGTGCTACAGTATCTGGATCAAGCGCATTCCATTCTCTTATTACGCGAGGGAAAAATGAAAACCTGAAGGTATTGTTACTGCAGAAATATTCTTTGAAGATGAGGTCGTGTTTTTGGCGCACTTTCCCTTTTTCTTTTATAGTAGTGAAGACGGAGGCATTAGTTTTAAAGTGGCCGTGCAACAGTTGATAAAAGAACTTCAACCGATGTATTTTTGCTCTATCGCGAAGCGTAGGTAGCTCCGCTCGGAGCAGAAGCTCGGAAGGGGAATCCGTTCGCCTATAGCGGTTAAAGATAAATCTTACCGCCTTGCGCTGTACGCTCTCGAGCAAAGCTATGTCAGTATTTGTTGAAGGAAACCACACTATATTCGCATATTCTAGCACAGGTCTTATAAAGGAAATGTAAGATAAGCGCTTGGTATCTGTGGTAGCGTAGCGTAGGGTCCGTTTTAGAAAAATCAACTTGTTTATTGCCTTTTTCGTCACCTGATGTATATGCGCAGTCCATTTGAGGTCAGATGATATTAGAAGCCCTAAATATTTATACTGAGTTGCTGTGCGAAGGGTGACACCATTAAGTGAGTATGGAAATAATAGTTTGTTTTTCTTTCTGCTTATGTTCATCACGACCGTTTTTTCGAAATTAATAACCATCTGCCAATCATGGCACCACTGGGCTACGTTGTTTAGGGAATCGTTAAGGGCAACCTGATCGTCAATGTGTTTGATTTCACTGTAAATCATGCAGTCATCTGCAAACAGTCTAATTTTAACGTTTACTGATTCAACAATGTCATCTATGAATAACAGGAACAAGAGCGGAGCGAGAACGGATCCCTGCGGAACGCCCGAAAGAACTTTAACAGTGTCAGAATTTTGTCCATTATAGTGCACAAACTGGTAGCGGTCTGAAAGGTAATCACTAATCCATTCAACTATTGGACCATTGCCTAGTTTGTCTATGAGTTTAGTGATGAGTTTAGAGTGGGACACGCGGTCGAAGGCCTTAGAGAAATCTAAAAAAATTACATCGATTTGTGATTGTTCATTTATTGCCAGCCCGAAGTCATGTATAGCCTCTACAAGTTGAGTGACAGTAGATAGCCCACTTCTGAACCCATGCTGAGAAAGAGAGATGAGGTTGTTTTCTTCTACATGCTTGGTTAATAACTTTAAGATAATGTGCTCGAGAATTTTGCAACTAGTGCAAGTTAAAGAAATTGGCCGGTAGTTCGTTGGGATAGAAGTATCACCAGATTTGTGCACTGGCACAACTTTCGCGATTTTCCACTCCGCCGGAAGACGGCAATCGCTAATTGACTTTGTAAATATGAGATGGAGGTACTTGCTAATGGGTTCGGCATAGCGTTTAAGGAAGGTGTTTGGTATTTCGTCTGGGCCACTACTTTTCTTTTCATCAAGGTCTAATAGCAGTGAAAGAATGCCAGGTACTGTCATATTTAACGACGGAAGTGATCTGCCTTGGTCATCGTGACGGGAACCCGGTGTAATCTTTCGGAGGTTATCAGTGCTAAAAACAGAGTGAAAGTAAGAATTGAAATTATTCGCCTTTTTCTTGCCCTCTTCAGCTGGAAACACCGATAATGTCGACCGTT